TATTGAAATTCAGAATAATATTTAAAAAATTATGAAACTAATATTAATAAAATAATTTACCTCATTAAAAGATTCATCAGGAGTACTCAATGAATTATGTAATTTTTTTAATGTCACAGTTATATCTTTACTGGTTCTTTTGTTATATTGATAATCTATACTTTTCCCACCATTTAGCCAAGTAGCTTTGTATATGGTTGCAAATTTACCTTCACCCATCTTTTCAATATTTGTTAAATCGTTATAAGGAACCCATTGAAGATAAAATTCGTTACCATATGCAGTTGCTTCAAATTGTGTACTTTTAATCAACTCATCTAGTGTCTCATTGCCACTAGTCCATCCTTCGGTTAATAGCTTTGGGTCACATGATTGACACCATGAATAATAGGTATTATACCTATTGCAAGTTGGACATTTTCCATAAAGTTCATCTCTCCTCTTCGAATATTCATCATTATCATTTTTGTCAGTAGAAGTATCATCAGGATGTTTATTAAAAACGGTTTCCATTTTTTTAAAATTTAATAATCTCGTGTCACAAAAATTTAAAGTTGTGCGTAGCAACTCCAAATAATTTATTACGTGTTTCACTTTTCATTATGATATTATGGCTAATACATATTAATATTAGTATAATTGTTTAAATGACAAATGTGAAATATTTATAAAACAAACGATTGTCAAAAAAAAATTTATGGTTGGCATTATTTATTATGGGGTATATATTTAAAGCAAAAATTATTATCCCTTTTTTTTGGTACCCTTGAGACCAAATTTCCGTTTTCATACAATCAAAATCAAAATTCTAACAATTTAATGGAGCTCTACAAAGAGTGCTCTACTCATAGCAACATAAATTGTTATTAACTAGCTAAAAATATAATATGTACAGTTGTTTGAAATTGGCAAAGCTATAAAATATGACACGTCATCTAATGACTATATTAAAACCGACAATCTTTGAAAGCCAATAACTACAAAATTTTATGAAAAAGTAAAACGATAAAATTAAAGCTTCATTTTTACCGGTTACTTTTTCTTGTCATAAAATTTTGTAGAATTATTGAGTCTCAAAGTCTCGGCATTTTTATATATGTAAATTTTAAACTTTTTTTTTTTGGCCAATTTACTTTTAATTATTATGTTTGTTGGCAAATCACGTAGTAATGGTAATATTTTTAGAAACACAATTTTTTAATTAAATAATTGTAAATTTTACCATATCTTTATAATGGGTCATGTTTCTAAAAGTAAACAACTTACAAAAATCAAGAGAGAACTTCTAATTATTTGTTTGGTAGGAAAAGACATAAGATTGATACTGGAGTTGCTGAATCAAATGAAAATGAATATTAATATGTACCTTTAAATTTGAACAAGATATTGCAGTAAGCAGGGAGCGATACGCCATCCCCCAGAAAAGGCCACTGGTATCACCATGCCTACTTTATTAAAACATTTTACATTAAATTTTTCAATCAATCACGATTAATCTCCTGTATTTGATAAAAGCACTTTTTGAACATTTCATTTGAGAAAAGTCAAATTACAGGATGTTCAAGTTTTCCAAGGAGCTTGCTCTATTCAATACCAAATATGCTTGGCCTTCAGCAAATATGTTCTCACGAATAGAGATGGTTATATAGGTAAGGTCAAGCCTTGTGTTTTATGAACAGTCAATGAGAAGGCATTTTGGAGCGAGAATTGTATAAATTTAAGGAAAGCATTTTCATCACTCATTATTGTGACATGCGTATAACAAACGTTACAATAAAACAATAGAATAACATTTTGTCTTGTCTTGTCTCGATGCTAGTTGGATTCTTTTTCTTATTATTATTATCCACGTTAGATAACACGATCAAATGAAACCCATCATTTAAACTTAATTAATTAATTGGGAAATGTATTTTCATCACTCATTATTACAACACATGTGTATAACCAACATTAAATATAATAAATAGGATAACATTTGTCTTATATTATCTTGATACTAGCCGGGTTACTTTTTATTATTACTATTATTATTATTATTATTATTATGCAACGTTCGTTTATTATAACATGTGCACAACGTTATGTAAAAAGAAATTGATTAAGATACTTTGTGGACCAAAACACAAAATATCATTCCCGCTCACCTTGTTCAAAGGATTTTCCTCTCTTAACAGTCTTTTTTCATTTCCTGGTGACGCCAAGGATTTTTTGTTTTTGTTTTTTTTTTCGAAAAACCACTTGGTTCAACGAATGCGTTCTCAAGTTTTTATTGCTGCTAACATTTCTTTCTTTTTTTGTTATTGTTTGGTGTTGAGGCGATGATGACAACGGCGACGATTTTATGTAAATTCCAACTCTATGGCGTCCAAATGCAAAAAATCATTACTATTACTATTACCAATTTACCAACCGTCACCATCGTTATTGTCATTGTTGTCGTCATCATTATTATCATCGTCATTTGTCATTATTGTCGTTATTATTGTTACCATTATCATTATTTTTGGCATCACCATCACCATCATTATCAATGGTATCATTATCATCATTGTCATTATTATTAACAAAAGAATCCTTGGTCGATTGAATTAATGTGAGTTGAAAAAAAAAAGCAAATGATAAATTTAACATTATAAAAATTCAAGCAGTTTTGGTTGTTATATTGGTACATAAATATTTACAACCATCCTCTAACGCAGTTTATATGATATCATCGATTTGAAACCTTTTTCTTGTCATCAACATCGCCCCCACAAAATTTCTTGAAAATTAATTCTTCGTATTCATCAACTTCGGTCCCGAAAATTGCAGTTCCTTTAAAAGGTTGTTTGTTTCAACCAACGATTTGATATGTAAAAGAACCAATAAAAATAGTACACATTATTAGATTATCAGATAGTTTTTTATTAATTATTAAATTTTTGATTATTTTGATTGAATTTTTCGTTAAATTACCTCTATTTATTATAATAAATAATTATGAAGAATAAATAGTAGATATCTTGATTCTTTGGATCAAATTTATCTATCTTAGATCAAAAGAAAAAAATAAATAAAAAGGATTAAAAATTAATTAATATTTTTTCACATTAATATATCTATATTTTCAAAATCCTAAATAAAATTTTTTATTACCATATAAAAATGAATATAACTTCATTTCTTTATCTTCATTCAATGAGGCAGTAGAACAATGGAAAAATGGCTCCATGAATCGTAAAATTTTAACAAGATCTGGTTACAATGCTCAAACACCCAAAAAAATGCTAATCAAAGATATAACATCAGAAATTGTTATGTGTATATGTAAAAATTGGACAAAAAAAATGATGATAATTTAAAACCGTTATTAGTAAAAGAGGAGCTTTACCAGGTATTTTGTAAGGCCCACTTACAAAATAACCATGGAGGCCTGGAATAACATTAAAAAAACATGGAGTGGAGTTAAACAAGACCTAATTGAGTTATTGGTCAAAAGGTGCCTTGCTTGTTCTAGCTAGACAATTAACAGTTGCTGGAAAACCAATAATTGCAAATTCTTTTATGTCACGCCTACAAGTAATTAATTTTAATGATTTTTTTGTTTCATTTTATTAAAATAAAATCAATAAAATAATTATAAAATTGATAGGTGGACCTTGTGGAAATGTCACTTGATGGAGAATATAAATATATTCTTCATGCTCACAATCACTTTACTAGATATTCATGGGGATATCCCCTGAAATCTAAATCTTCAATTGAGGTTGCAGCAAATTCATTTGACTTGCTTACAGCCTTTGGAGCTCCAATGATATTACAATCAGATAATGGAAAGGAGTTCAATTCCAAAGTAATAAAAGAGTTGATGGAGATATGGCCAGGTACAAAAATTATTAATGGCAGACCATGCCATCCACAGTCGCTGGGGCATGTAGAATGTGGAAATAAGGATTTAGAAAATAAACTATCAGAGTGGATGATAGATAACCGCCAAGATGATTGGAGTTTTGCACTAAAATTATAATCCATAGTATGAATACTTCTATTTCAAGACCAACCCACAATACTCCATATTGTTTGGTTTTTGGTGTTGAACCAAGAAGTAATGATACAGCATTGGAATTATTATTTGCTGATGGTCACATCCATGAAGAGGATATACCAAGCAATGTAATGATTGAAGGTATTTTTTTTTTTGATCAGCAAAAAATTAAAATTTATGCATTATTAAATTTTAAAAAATATTATTTTAATTTTATAACCTAAATTTTAAAAAATAATATTATTATATAGATCAAATTAATAATGAAGCTAATAATGATAATAACAACAATGATGGTAATGGTAAACAATACTTCAAAAATTTATTTTATTTATATGTCATAAAGGTTCTAAAAATGTACCCCAAAGTCATGTGCCCACTAATTTATTATTGGCCCAAATTATTTATAGCAATTATAAATCAATAAATAATACAAGGAAAAAATTTTTTTTAAATTTTAAAAAATGGCGACAATTGAAGAAATCAAAGAGCAGTTAAAAAAGGCAGAAGGAAACCATGAAGAGGCGGAAAGAATGTTAAAGGAGTTTGAGGAATGGCTGAAAAAGTTGAAGATTGAAGTGAGAAAGTTGAATAGTCAAATAAGATGTGAAGAAGATGAAAAGGAAAAGAAAATTTTGGAGGGGGAGAAGGAAGATTATGAAGGTGAAATAAAAGATTTGGGGAAGAAAGAAGAGAAATTGGAGGCGGAGAAGAAGAAGTGGAGAGACCAGGTGATAAATTTGCAGAATGCATTGATTGAATTTGGTAAAGGTGAAGGTAATGAAAATATACAAAG